TGCATCAGATTTGTTTTATTCTATTTTTTATGTGCATGATTCATTGCATCAATAAGTATATCAAGTTTCTTAAAACTTAAAGTGTTTATTAAGACCTATTAATTATACATTCTCCAAAATTCAATCTGAGAGCTTCTATTTTCTTTGTTTCATTTATTAGACATTATCATGTTAGGTCAAAAATTCTATGTTAACAATTCAATACATCCTAAACCAATTTATCTTCCCATGTATTCTACTCTTTAAAAAATTCATTTAAGGTTGGGGGTGGAAGTGCTTATCAGCTTAGGAATTGATCAGACTCTTGTTCAATTCCCAGCTGTTCTGTTCACAGGATATGTTACTTTGGGGAAACTACTTAATCTCTCTGAGTCTCAGTTTCCTCATCTATAAAATGGGGAAAATTAAAATTCCTCCTTCATATGTTGATATTTTAAATGTACTAAAAATGTGTTAAGTAGAGTTCGCACATCATAAATGATTAATAAAGGTTTTCTCATTCTGTTTTAATTAAATTATTGATACAGCAACGCACCATAGTTACCCAAACCAGAAACCTGGGTGTAATCTACTTTCCTTTCTGTCACTTAATCAAGTTTCCCTAGTTTAACTTCCTAAATCATCCTCAAATGTATGCCCTTCTCTCCTTTCGTCTTTTCTTGCCCTAAGTCATGGTATGAGCCCTCATCCTCTCTCTTTACAAAACACTCCAAAAATCTAACTCTTTTTCTTTTTTGTCATATTCAAAAGCAATACATTTTTATTATAAAAGAGAAAGAAGATTTCTAACATGTATAAAATTTAAGGTGGCTGCTTCTTAGAAGTCTATTCCTCAGGAAAAAAATTGTGTTTTCTTTCTATGCATATACTAACACACATGTTCTAAGTTTATTTATTCAGTTTCCTTGATTATTTTTACTAAATATATTGTAGTTATTATCCTTATCAGTATAATTTAGATATACCTCATTACAATAATTTTATAATATTCCATTTTATAAATTTATGGCCAACTTCTAATCAGTTCATTAATTCTTGCGTAAAATACTCCTACAAACCTTCCAATGGTTTCCTTTCCTATTTTAGTTGTTGTACATTTATTCATATTTTATTTTTTCTGTCATTAGAATCAGTAATTTGGAATTTATTTATTTAAATATTCCCCCCCCGCCCAAGACAGTCCCCTAGCCTCCCCCATCCCCCAGTGTCTTATGTCCATTGGTTATGCTTATATGCATGCATACAAGTCCTTTGGTTGATCTCTTACCCTCCTACCTCCCGCCCCCGAACCCTCCCCGGCCTAGTTCATTAATTCTTGCGTAAAATACTCCTACAAACCTTCCAATGGTTTCCTTTCCTATACAGTTTTTCCCCTCCCTCAACTCTATATTCTATGAAGCAAACACAGGAGAATCAATGTAGAATTCAAGTTTAACTCTAGTATTACTGCTTAAAATCCTTCATTGATTCCCATTGCACTGGAGAAAGTTCAGTTCCTTGAGATTTTGTACAGAGTCTTCAATAATTTTGTCCCCACCTACCTCTCCAGCTTCATACCACTTCCCTTTCTTTGTCTTAATAATTTGGTGTAGTTCTTTTTATGGTATCATATGTCATATTGTCTCCACTTCCTAGAACGGCTTTTCCACTCCCTTTTGTTATGAAACAGGGCTTAGCAGACATTTTGTAAGAAACCAGCTAGTAAATATTTGAGGCTCTAGGGGTCATACTGTCCCTGTCACAACTAGTGAACTCTGTGGTTGTAGTGCTAAAGCGGCCACACACAATATGAAAATGAATAGATATGGTTATTGTTCCAATAAAACTATGTTTGTTTACAAAAACAGGCAGCAGGCTAGATTTGACACCTCTTGCTCTAGACAACTTTTTGGCTAAGATGGCACTCCTTCCAGAAAACCTTATCTAATACTTCAGTTTCCACCCAGTTCCCATAACACTCAACACATGTACACATTGCCCTATACAACTATCAATGTATGTTTGTTTCTTTCAACAGACTGATAACCACTTGAGGGCAGGAGCCATGTTTCTTTCATCTCTGTGTCTTTAGCACTTACATGCACAACACTTAAATATTCAATAAATATTCATTAAAAGAAGAAATACACGTGTCTCCAAAATTCTTTTTTTAATTATTGCTTCTCTCTGTCTCTGTCTGTCTCTCCAGAAAACTTTCTATGTAAGTGATTCACACAATATAAGAGCTAGTTAAGTCCAACAAGTTTTTCCTCCAGCATTTCTTCATCAGGAGTTGCCTTTAAAACATGTTATTAAGCAATGTTACTCCAAAAGTTTACTTATATCAATTAAAATAGAAAATCACCTAGAGTCTGGGTCTTCTCACAGAGATTAGGATTGAGGAGGTCTGGGTAAGGCATTTTCCATGTCCACAGGTCATTCTGAGGCGTGCTCCCCTCATAGACAGCCCTCATCTCTTTTCCACCTTCCCAGTTTCAATCAACAATCTCTAAGTCCCCGTACCAACACGGCACGCCAGGCCAGCCCTCCTCGTACCTGGGTCTTCTTAAGCATCCTACGGCCTGCCCAGTATCCAGCTTCCCCATTCCTGCATTCAACCCTCACAGGGAAGAGTGACCTTCCCCAAACCCCTGCAAGCCTGTCGGAAGCCTGTAGGTCTCTGCACACTCCTTCTGCATGTCTTGTAAAGCGCCTTACCTCCATCTTATACCCGTATTTTCATTTTTTACTACAAATGCTCTGCGAAGGTCAAGCAAACACTGTTACCTGCAGGGAATTTGGGTTAGGTCCACCACGCTCTGGTTGATTTTAACCTTTTACTCTTTTTCAATGGTTCCCATCTTTATTCTATCTGTACCTTTTATAATAAGCCTTTTCAAATCCTCTTGGAAAGTAAAATAACATAATCATTAATAATACATGTCTTCATCTTTCTGTTGCCTTTGCACATATCCTGTGCTTGTAATCCACTGCACAGCCCCCCTGTACATACACACACGCAGCCAAACCAGCTTTCTCTCGGGTTTCACTGAGTAAAAGGAAACTCCATCCATCCAGCTGCCCTGCAGGTCAGCAAGACCGCCTAGTCATCCTTGCCCTCGCCAGTCAGCAAATCCTACGGGCTTCACTTCCATTTGTATAGAATCTGATGATTGCTTACCACCTCCCCTGCTACCACCTGGTCCAGGTGACCACCATCTCCAGCCTAGAAGATCACAATTGCTTACTGTCATCCTACGTCTACTCTACTGACAAAATGACAGCTAGAGGTGCTTAAAAAATGGCTTTAATGAGATACATTTCATAGTAGAGGTGTTTAAAAAACAAATACTTCAGTCAAATCATGCCACTTATGGTGGTTCCCTAACTCTCTCAGAATGAAAACAAAACTCCATACACAAACCTTCCAGGCTCCAAACAGCCTGCAGAACACTCTTTTCTCTCTGACCTGACCCCTTCCCCTCCATCTCTAGCTCACACCGTCAGCCACACTCCTTTGTCTAGACAGCTCTTCTCCCAGACATGAGCATGAGAGGTTCCCTGCCTCCGCCAGGGCTCCACGCTACTGCCTGGAACACAGTAGGTGCTCAATAAATATATGTTGAATGAATAAATACATTAACTCCTGAAATTTCTTCCTCCCAGCTAGTGTGACTTACCTCTCAGTGCCTCATGTGAGAAACAGAGATAATGATTCTATCCAGCTTACAGATTTGCTGTGAGCATCCAATGTGATCATGGATGTGAAAGCATTTTGGAATTGATAAAGCACTGTGCTAGCATAAGTTTGTTATTGACTCTGAACAACTTTTGTTCTGAAAAAATACTGGAGAACAGTGTCTAATTGGCGAAGTGCAAATTTAGCACAAAACTGGAGGAGTTGTTCAAAGTCACCTGGTAGTCTGTCAGTATCCCCTTACATAAAGAAGGAAAAATCCTCAATTTTTTTGTCATGTGTTCCACAAATCCGACATTAGCTTTTAAGTTTCTCAAGGTTGAGATCCGACTTCTACTGCAGCTGGATACTCAGTAAATAGAATTTCTCTAAAATGTTGCCATCTTTCTGAAAAGTGTGTCTAGTTAACTTAGAGTCTACAGGGAAGAAACTTCATAAAAGTTCATTTCCATTGTTCTTATATTAATGATGAAAAAATATCCAACATAGCTCTTTGATAGAAACTAGGATGTTAACATCTGGTATAAGATCCTTTGGCAACTGCTAAAGATGTGATCAGCCTAAATGAATCATCTTACATATGTTTAGGGAATTCCCACCTCTAAAGATTTTTCCTTTGAATTAGGCACAAGCCTAGAATTAACTTTAGAAGGCTTTTTCCTTCCTTCTTGGGTATTCCCATCTGATATGAAAGTTAGTTTCTTGGTTTCTTTGAAAAGTTATTTCTGCTAAGCCTATGTTTTAATGGGGCCCTATTCTTACATCAATGGGATTTCTTCTAGCAAAACATTTTTTCATATTGACATTCCCATTAATAAAACCTAAGTTATGGAAGACAGTGTTTTCCAAAGATGGCTACACCAATTTATCCATCCCGCACTATCTTCTTACAAAGTGATTTTGACTGCCTCCATCAAGAGGCAGGATCTACATTCCCTCTTCCTGAAGCTGGGCAAAACTCCGTGAGAGCCGCAACTAAAGGAACATGATGGAGATGACACTACATGACTTCTGAGATTGTTTTCTCTACCTGGTTCTCTTTTTCTTCGGACCCTGACCCTTGAAATTTAGGCACCATGAGGTAAGGCAGCTAGGCAGTCACATGGAAAGAGCACAGACAGATGGTCCAACCAAAGTTCTAGACGAGTCCTGGGCTGACAGGCGGATCAACCACCAGACCTGTGTGATATGTGCCTGCAGATGACTCCTGGCTCGTCTTTGCGCTGTCCCACTGATGCCAAGTGAAGCAGAGAGAAGCTATCCCCGCCCAACACTGTCTGAATGGCAGATTCATGAGCAAAATAAATGGTGCAATTGTTTTAACCGCTACGTTTTGGGGTGTTTTTTATGCAGCAATAGTCTTCCTATTTTCACATATGTATTTCCATTGATCAGTTAGAAGCCTGAAGCCTGCCTGCTGGACAACAGTCACATTAATGACAGGGCAGTGTTTCAGAGCAGGAGTGGAAACACTACACTCAGCAGACACTCTTAATATTTCTCAGCCAGGTCATGATAAAGATTGGCGCTACGATAAACACACACCTATTTTTTAAAGCTTTATTCTAGAAAAACTAGGACCTATTAACATATAAGGCATTGGGGTCAGAAGGCCATGTAGACCTGTTATTTGCTTTAAATAACTACCCACAACATGAGCACTGATGTCCAGTATTTTCATACTAGTTGTGAGATCCTGAGTGAGTAATATACGGCTTTGTGCCTCACTTCCTTCACCTGCAAAATGGATATAATTATACCTGCCTCATAGATTTGCCACAATAATGTAAAGAAACAATATTTATAAAGTACTTTATGAGTAGCACATGTGGCTCTGCTTTGTTTTTCTTAACCTCCTCTCTATTCAATCATGGCTGCTGATAGAAAAGTATTTACATTTTTATCCTGTATCCACTATAATTCTCATTTGAGACAAATTTTTTAAATGTTAAACATTCATTTGTTCTGTCCTCATCCCTTGACTAGACTGATGCTTTCTAAAACATACCTCCAGGAAATGTTTTTAACTAGTAGATGGAAATCATCAGCAATGAAGATAGATGGAGTAACCGTGTATGTTTCCCTTGGAATATTCTGACCAGCTTACAAGATCTGTAGGAAATGACAGTTTCATTGCTTGATTATCAAATCCTAGGCCATGTAGACCTGTATACAGATTCAGGCTTCCAGAGTCTAAGTGAGTGTCAACCCAAATGAAAAGTTTCACCATAACGCATTCAATACAAGGCAAGAGTCCCTTTAAAGTATTTTTAAAAGTGTGACCACCTGTTTTGCCCAACTCCTGCATTAACATTTGCATGGCGAATTCAATGGTTGATGGGCTGATGATGTTAATATAGATGATGATGTCTTGGGAGAGTAAGGATGAGGGGGAAAATGATGAGCACTCTTGTAATAAGGCGGGGCCTTGTCTCATAACAGATGATACTTTGCTCTGAAAACTGGGTCCAGACAGAGAAGATTATGTTAAACCTGCTGAGCAGTTCTGAAGCTCCAGAATTAGGGCCTTCATTAATATTTAAAAAAAAATAATTCTCTTAGACTTATGTGAATAAAGCAGCATCCACAAGGCAGGCTCAGATTTTTAGGGGGAAAAAGAGACCCTCCAAAAAATACATGTACTCTTTTACTATTTATTTCTACTTTGGCTTTCAAAATAGGAGATTGAATTGTTTGCAAGAAAGAACCAAGCGGCCACACCTTAAGGATTTCTGTTCACACATGGAGCTTAGCTTTCATATTTTCTACAGATCTTTAAGCAGTTATAAGTTTACATACTCATGTATTTATTAATTCAGCTTTTCTGCCTTTCATGAATAAATTATGCTTAGCTAATTTCCATATGAGCCTGGTGGCCTTCTCTAGGGCTTTAAATCAAAGTCTGGGGAAATTTTATGTACATTCAAGCAGAGTTTATAGATACATTGAAAAGCATTTGACGTCACCAAAACTGCTTAAAATGCTTCTGGGAGGAAATGATGACAGATGCATTTACAGACAGGTGACACTTGTACTCCCGGGCGCAGGACGGCCAGATCAGACAGTTTGTCCACTGCTGTTACAATCACTGCGGCCACTGTGCTAGTTTAGGGGTTTTGCTTGAGACGAAATAATTAAGATGTTTCAGACTCACATTATCCATCTCTAGTCTAGTTCAAGTGTCTTCTGACGTGCATTTTATTTGCATTGTGAGCATGATGATTTATCACACTTTCTCTTATTCTCTGTGGAAAAGTCAGAGCCAACAATGACAACTTTGAGAGATTCTGACTTTTGCTGAACACAGAAAATCATTAGTTTTAAATCTAAAGGTTCCTTATTGATTCAGAGGCCTCAGAGCCACCCTGCATATGCTACACAAGGCCTATTTTAACTAGGTCACTGCCACAGCATTCAAAGGGCGCCAGGCTCCACCCATGGAAATGCCAAAATAGCCGGGGGTGGGGGAGAGTGTGGGAAAATTTCAGTTATACTTTTAGGTATTTTGCTCACCTAAAAGCAACTAGATTTTGGAAATACAGGTGCTTTCATGTGTTTCTTTTGCTGTTGTTGTTGCTCCAAACCAAGTAGCTAGAACTTCCTGTCTAATGTGAGCTCTACAGTAGTTGGAGTAAGAATGAACCCCATGTAAAAATTCTAGAAGAATCCAAAGGCAACAAAATCTCAGACATATGCCGAAGCAATTTCTTCACTGATACAGCTCCTAGGACACTTGAAACTAAAGAGAAAATGAACAAATGGGACTACATCAAAATAAAAAGCTTCTGCACAGCAAAAGAAACCATCAACAAAACAATGAGAAAACCCACCGTGTGGGAAAACATATTTGCCAATGTCATATCTGATAAGGGCCTAATCTCCAAAATTTATAGGGAACTCATACAACTTAACAAAAGGAAGATAAACAATCCCATCAAAAAATGGGCAAAGGACCTAAATAGACACCTTTCAAAAGAGAACACTCAGAAAGACAAG